CTAGCAATCCAAAACACTCCAGTGGAGCCTGAGCGGTGGGTGTTGCCTTCTGACACACTTCCGGTGATGTCAGGGGGTGTGGCATATGCAAATATGTTATGCTAATGAGTTATGCTAATGAGCTCCTGCACCTCTTTTTCTACTAAATGACCCCTGTGTATAGGTATTAACTGTTTCCAAAACCTAGAACTCCCCATGCATTACAGGAGCTGGCGATAACTGATGCGCGGTCTTTGTCATTTTCTTGATTAGATTTGCATTTCCCATGGTTACATTTCAACCTATACATCCAGCAGTTCACAGTGCCTGGGCACTGCTTACGGTTGCTGACTCCAGGCTGGAAACTTCTTGCCAGCATGTTCATGGGTAGCAGGATTTGTAGCCTAATTAGAGTTGCTCCCGAGACGACAGAAATCCGCTCCCCTGGAGAAAATGGCTGCTTTGGAGGGTGGACTCTGTGGCATTGTACTCCATTGAAGCCCCTCCCCTCCCCAACCCCCCCCTCCTCGGGCTCCACCCCCAAATCTCCAGAAATTTCCCAACCCGGAGATGACAACCCTAACTCAAAGACCCTGACCCCCATAAGGTGTTTATAGAACTTGATACCACAAAATGTAATGATAGTGGCCACTAGCTGGGCTATTTTTGGGCAGGAACGCACAGGAACGGAGTTCCGGCCGGCTCCTGAGTTGGCCACGCCCAGCAGGAACTCATTAGCATAATAGGCCACACCCGACAGCAGAAACTCATTAGGATTGGCTACATTAGGGGTGTGTGGCCTAACATGCAAAGGAGTTCCTGCTACAAAAAAAGGCCCTGGGTTTGGACAACAAACAAGGTAAACAGAATAAGAAGCAAAAGGTGGGTGTGGCTGGATGACCACACTTCTGGTAACATGGGGGTGTGGCCTAATATGCCAATGAGTTGCACTGTCAGAGGTGTGGCCTAATATGCTAATGAGTTCCTGCTGGGCTTTTTCTACAAAAGAAAGCCCTGGCCACTAGTATAGATGACTTTTTACAAAAGGATTCGCTTGATACCAGAGAAGTCTATAAAGAAGTCATTCCATAGAGCCTCCAAGTCCGGAGGCAGTCTACCTCTGAATAACGTTCTGTGCTGGCCTTCATTGTTAACCCCCCCCCCCCCCCGGCAAACCTCCTTTGTGGCTGAGAACAGAGCGTTGGACCTTTGCTTGTGACCCAACAAGCCAAATTCTCGTGTCCTTCTATGCCGGGCAGTACCTGGACTTCCAGAGTTATGTTTGGAACGGTTCGGTTCGCGACAGCCCAGCCCTGGAGCGTTCCATCGCCCTCTGCAACAGCATCTCCCAGTGGGTGCAGGTCATGATCCTCAACCGGCCGACCCCGCAACAGCGAGCGGAAGTCTTCACCAAGTTCATCCACGTTACTCAGGTGAGGCTGCGTTTTCTCGCCGGGCCGGGCGGCACAAGGCAGGGATGGAAGGGGAATGTTCGGGAAGAAACTGGAAGGAGAAACCACTCCAGTTGGAGAAACCACTGGAAGGAGAAACCACTCCTGCTGCTGGAGAGGGATTCAAATTCTGCCGAATGGTTGGGCTCCCTGCGACTGGTTCCTTAGGAGCAATTCTCCCTCTCTTATCGAACGTGTTCAGATTTCTCTGAAAGATCATGGGAATGCCGCGCTGTGTACCTTATGCAGCTCTGTGTTTAGAAACTGGGTTAAATTCTGTGGAATCTGGTGCGTGGCTTACGACAGTAAGATATTGGCTGCGTCTACATTACAATGTAGAGCTGCGGTGGCTCAAGTGGTTAAGACACTGAACTGCAGGCTGTGGAAGGTCGGTCGTTCAGCAGTTCGAGACCCGAGTGTGCCGCATGACGGAGTGAGCTCCCGTCTCTGGTTCCAGCTCCTGCCAACCTAGCAGTTCGAAAGCAAGACATTGCAAGTAGATAAATAGGTGCCGCTTCGGTGGGAAGGGAACAGCGTTCCGTGCGCCTTGGTGTTTAGTCATGCCGGCCACATGACCACGGAAACATCTTCGGACAGCGCTGGCTCTTCGGCTTTGAAACGGAGATGTGCACCGCAACCCTAGAGTTGAATACGACTGGCTTTCAAGCAAGGGAACCTTTACCTTTACTACATTACAATGTAGACCAAGGTAGCCTCATACTACAAATGCTCACAGAGTCAAATATGACCAAATGGCTATCACACATTGAGACTAAAATGCCATGGGTATTCATGCTCCCATTTATAGGCGCTTTCCAGATGATTAAACGTAGAGTCCTCGACATTGAAGTACGAAGGCGTTACCGTTTAGCCAACAAATCCTGTTCCTCCCTGAACTTTGAGATGCCCCTTACGGTAGGCCGAATGGCCCCATATCTATCTGGTATACAAGTAACGCAACAGCGCAGAGCCTTTTCTCTAGCAAGATTCAATGTAATTCCATCAGCAGTCCTGCATGGGAGATATAACAATATAGTATAGGAGGATAGGCTTTGCCATTGTAATTCTGGATGTAATGAAACTGTCTTGCATATTTGTTTACATCGTCAATTTTACGTGGATTTACGTGTTAGATATTTAAACTCTATCTCAGCCAACATGACGAACCTTCCTGATGCTTTCAAATGACTCTGTTCTGGAAATATCAATGAACGTAGCCATGCTTTTACAATCAGTGATAAAGCTACGTCAGGAAAACTTACAATGAGTAATTGTTTTATCCTACATTATGTTTTATACGTATGGTCAGGGGTCATTTTGTAGAAAAAGAGGTGCAGGAGCTCATTAGCATAACTCATTAGCATAACTTATTTGCATATGCCACACCCCCTGACATCACCGGAAGTGTGTCAGAAGGCAACACCCACCGCTCAGGCTCCACTGGACTGTTTTGGATTGCTGGCTATTGGGGGGGGGGAACGTGCAGATCTGTCCTCGCAGAGGAGGGAGAGCGTGTACCTGAATAAAACTTGGTCTTAAAGGTGCCACTGGACTGTTTTGGGCCAGGGGGCTGGGGGGGGGCTCTGCAACTTACCTGGCTGCTTCTTGCTCTGACTGAGGGCTGCTGGGAGTAGGGGGTTGTTGCATGTGCCGGCCCCCTTGGGCTCTTTACTGCCGGAGCTCCGCTCCTGTGCGCTCCTGCAGGAAATGACCCCTGGACCTAGCTCACAGTTTTTTTAGCCTCTGGCTCACACGTTTTTGTCTTAACTCAGGAAGAATGGCTCCAGAGCAAACTAATTTAGGCAGTAGCCAAATTGCTTGCTCACAACTTTCATGCCAGTAGCTCGCAAAGTAGGATTTTTGCTCACAAGACTCCACAGCTTAGAGGGAGCATTGCATGGGGACCTTCTACCCAGCTCTGGATAGAAAAATTCCTGGAGGTTTGGGGGGTGGAATGGGATAGCGGAGAGTGCTTGGATTGTCTTTGGCCCCAATATCCATACCAACCTCTTTCTTTTATTCGTTTGTTCCAGAAATTACGGTTGTTGCAGAATTTCAGCACCCTCATGGCGGTCGTGGGGGGTCTCTGCCACACTGCTATTTCCCGTCTCAAGGAAACCCGCACTCTCTTGTCCTCCGAGGTCACCAAGGTAGGAAACTTGGGGCTCATGGAAAGAGATTTTAGCCTACGGGGTTCCCATTTGCCCGCTTATGGCGGGAGACCTCCAGGTAATGGCACCCCTTAACTGCCAATTGTCCTGGGGAGAAACATGAGAAAGAAAAATAAGGCCTCGTCTATTTACAGGAAGTCCTGACCACAGAGTTGCTGGCAATTCCTAGAATTACTGTTGTCAGTTCTCAGCCGCTCTAGGAACCTCGAGGAACTCTGTGGTCAGAACTTCCTGTAAACAGATGAGGCCTTGTTTTTTTTTCTTACTTTTTCTCCTGGGACACTGTCGTCGTCCCCCCCCCACCTCGCTACCCTCTCTCGGGTTGTGGGGCATTGCCTACAGAGAACTGCTGAGTGTCGTAGTGCCTGACTTGTCTTCAGCTTCAACGACCAGAGAAATAACCTTTCATTATCCGCCATTTTGAAAGAGGGCACCAGTGGTGAGGTCACGGGAGGAAATGGGATCAGCCCCCCTCCACTAACCACAACATCCTCTTGGTTCTTCCTTCCCCTTCCCGTCCACCCCCCTCCCCAGACACTATCTGAGATGACAGAGCTACTCTCGTCGTTTGGAAATTACGGGGCCTACCGACGGGCGTACGCCGATTGCAGCGGCTTCAAGATCCCCATCGTGGGGGTCCACCTCAAGGACCTGGTCTCCCTGCATGAGGCCCTGCCAGACCGCGTGGACGGCGGGCGGCTCAACCTAAGCAAGCTGCAGAGCTTGTATGAGCCGGCGCGGGAGCTGCGGACGCTGCAGCAGGCCGAACACCCCTTCCGCGCCAACAAGGACCTGGTGGATCTGCTCACTGTGAGAGACGCTCGAGAATCTCGTGCACCACGAGAAAGAACAGGGGCCATGGGGCTAGGCACATGCGGAACAGACTGTTAATATGGTTGCCAACCTCCAGGTGGCGGCTGGAGAGCTCCTGGGATGGTACCCGATCCCCAGGTGACGGAGATCAGCTCACCTGGAGAAAATGGCCACTGCGGAAGGTGGACTCTATGGCCTTATAGCCTGCTGGGGTCCCTCCCCTCCCCAACCTCCGCCCGCTCCAGGCTCCACCCCCAATATTTCCAGGTATTCCCCAACCCAGAGCTGGCGGGATTTGTGGATGGGAAGGACCTCTACAGAGTATAATGCCAAAGAGTCCCTCCCCCAAAGCAGCCCTTTTCTCCAGGGTAACCAATCGCTCTCGTTAGGGGATTGGTGATCATTCCATAAGGTTGCCAGCTCCGGGTTGGGAAATACCCAGAGATTTTGGGGGTGGAGCTGCAGGGGGGGTTGGGGAGAGGAGGGACTTCAGCGGGGTATACTGCCATAGAGTCCACCTTCCAGAGCGGCCATTTTCTTCAGGCGGATTTATCTCTGTTGCCCGGGAGATCAGCTGTAATCGCGGGGGATCACCAGTCACCACCTGGAGGCTGGCAACCCTGTAATTCCAGGAGGGGGTGGAATTACAGTTGACCTCTACGTTACAGAAATCGGTTCCCCTGGAGAAAATGGCTGCTTTGGGTCATGGACTCTGTTGCGTTCTACCCCATTGCAATCCCTCCCCTCCCCAAATCCCGCCCTCCACAGGCTCCACCCCCCCAAATCTCCAGGCCTAACCCTAACCCTGTTGGCTACCTTAATGTGACCCAATAAAACCACGTATTGGGGAGGGGTACCACAACCAGTGGTTTGTTTAGCGCCTGGTGCAGACTGCCCTGTCTTTTTGTCACGTTGTGCTACCACCACTGCTTGCGTTAGGGTCACAACGTCTGTGTTGCTTAGTAACCACCACTAGAGGGAGGGGGAAAGAGCTCCAACCACCATGTTGCCTGGCAACCCGGCACAAGGAAACACGGGGCCCCTTCACTGTGCGGCCTGGAAGCCGGTTGTTATGTGACTCAGCCACCGCAGTGGGTTTCCTAGCAACGGTTGCTACAGAGAAACAGAACCACAACTACTGCGTGACCTAACAGCAGGTTCCTGTGCAGCCTAGTAGTAACCGCAGGGTGCTGCCCCCTCCCCTGTGTGCCCTGCCGCCAATCAATGAGGTTCCGCCTACCTCTCACGTCTTCTGTTGCTCATAGGTCACGGCGTCGAGGCCACCAGTGTTGGAGGGACCAGGGAATATTATGATCGATACGTTGCTTGGCAACCAGAGGAAGAACATGGCAACTTTGCCTCTTGCAGGTCATGGCGTTACCTCTACGGGAACGCCATATATAGCAGTTCTGTCCAAACACACGTACTCACGGCTTAAGCTTGCAGAGGACAATAGGATAATATTGGCCAACGTAATAAGATAATGAGCGGCAGGTCCAGAGAGTGGTACACATTCCTTCCTAACGTGTAAGGTGGCCCTTGGGAGGGCAGAAAGGCAGGATATACAGATTTTGTAAATAAATCAGTGAAATACCTTTCTTCTGACCCAGCTCTCCTTAGACCTCTACTACACGGATGAGGAAATCTACACACTCTCGTACGTCCGTGAGCCCCGCTACCCTAAATCCCTGGTAAGAGGCAGATGAAGGTGGGGGGAAGGAGACTGGCGAGGGCAGGGGTCTCCAACGTGGTGCCCGTGGGCACCACCAGTGTTCCCCCTAAGCTGAGTTAGTGTGAGCTAGCTCAATGTTTTTTAGCCTCCAGCTCACACATTTTTGTCTTCACTCAGGAAGGAGGGCTCCAGAGCAAACTAATTTATGCAGCAGGCAAATGGCTCACTCACAAATTTAATGCCAGCAGCTCACGAAGTAGAATTTTCGCTCACAGGACTCCACAGCTTAGAGGGAACATTGCGCCCACGGTGTCTTCATGGGGCCCACCAAGGCGGGGCGGGGCTTGTGCCCAGCAGGGATTCTGATTGGCTGTGGTAATTAAAAGGCAGTGAGACACAAGGAGGAGAAAACAAACTTGACCCAAAAACTGGAATCAAGAACCACAAGGGTAAGAAAGAAGTCATGATAAAGGGCCAATATTAAAAACCTAGTTAAAACTTATAATATATAAACATACATGCAGGGGTCATTTCGTATTAAAAGAGGTGCAGGAGCTCATTAGCATAACTCATTAGCATAACTTATTTGCATATGCCACACACCCTGACATCACCGGAAGTGTGTCAGAAGGCAACACCCACCGCTCAGGCTCCACTGGACTGTTTTGGACTGCTAGCTATTGGGGGCGGGGGGAGGAACATGCAGATCTGTCCTCACAGAGGAGGGAGAGCTTGTACCTGAATAAAACTTGGTCTTAAAGGTGCCACTGGACTGTTTTGGGCCGGGGGGCGGGGGGGCCTCTGCAACTTACCTGACTGCTTCTTGCTCTGACTGAGGGCTGCTGGGAGCTGGGGGCGGGGCTTGTTGCATGTGCCCGCCCCCTGGGCTCTTTACTGCCGGAGCTCCGCTCCTGTGCCCTCCCGCAGGGAATGACCCCTGCATACGTGTATTTATTAGAAAGACAGTTAAAAACATATAAGGGCCCAATGAAAGCCTCGTTAAAAAGTATTAGTGGCCTAAACACAAGGGCCAATACATGTGACCTGACGCATTTCCGCCCTATAGGGGCCTTCTTCAAAGGTCAAAGAATATTGAGGTCCACGTAACTATAATACATATTACAATAAGATAATTACTAAGTGAATCCTGGACCGAGGAAAGGAAAATTAAGCAGCAAGATCTATAGGCATAAGACAAAGGTGTTCGTGAGGCCTCTAAAGATGAGCATCCTGTGTCTGGTGCCAAATGCACAGCTCCTGAATTAGAACATCTTCCAATTTAGGTCCCAAAAGCACCTGCGTGGCCACCTAAGCCAGAGGTAGAGTGTCCTGAAGCAAACAGCAGCACTCATTGGACTCTTATATGTTTTAACTGTCTTTCTAATGAATACATGTATGTTTTTATATATTATAAGTTTTAACTATATAATATATATGTGGCCTTAGTTAGGGATAATTCGGAACTGTGTAAACCGCTCAGAGACCCTCCGGGGTTTGGAGCGGTATAGAAATCCAAAGTATAAATAAAGAAATAAAATATAAAACTAGGTTTTTAATATTGGCCCATTATCAAGACTTCCAATTAAAAGGCATCCTGTTAAACGGGGGTCATTTCGTAGAAAAAGAGGTGCAGGAGCTCATTAGCATAACTCATTAGTATAACTTATTTGCATATGCCACACACCCTGACATCACCTGAAGTGTGTCAGAAGTCAACACCCACCGCTCAGGCTCCACTGGACTGTTTTGGATTGCTAGCTATTGGGGGGGGGGAATGTGCACATTTGTCCTCACAGAGGAGGGAGAGCTTGTACCTGAATAAAACTTGGTCCTAAAGGTGCCACTGGACTGTTTGGGGCTGGGGGGCTGGGGGGGGCTCTGCAACGTACCTGGCTGCTTCTTGCTCTGACTGAGGGCTGCTGGGAGCAGGGGGCAGGGCTTGTTGCATGTGCCGGCCCCCTTGGGCTCTTTACTGCCGGAGCTCCGCTCCTGTGCACTCCTGCAGGAAATGACCCCTGCTGTTAAACAAGAGCCCCTGCGTTAATTGTTGAAGAGTCACGATGGGAGTTCTGCGTACCCTGAAGTTTTGTGTGGCGGCCATTTTGTGATTATGCCCATCACTGTACCTCGGGATTCCAGAGGTGTTCGCAGGCTCAAAAAAATAGAAGCCCGAGGACGCCCGTGCTGGGGCTTTGTTTGTCCCGTCCCTTAAGTTATTCCCTCCTGTTTTGTCGCAGCCCCCCACGCAGTTCAAGCCCCCTGTGGTAATGGAGTGGGCGCCCAGGATGGCCCCCAAACCGGACCGGACCACCATCAGGAAGCATGTCCAGCAAATGGTTGAGGTAAGGAGAACCCGATCTATGATGGGGCGAGGAATTTGGGACTAAGAAGATCCACCAGCCACCCTCTGACAAGAGCCAGTTTGGTGTAGTGGTGAAGTGCTCTAATCTGGGAGAACCGGGTTTGATTCCCCACTCCTCCACTTGCACCTGGCTGGATGACCTTGGGCAAGCCATAGTCCTGTCAGAGCTGTTCTTGAAAAAGAGCCGTTTCTCTCAGGGGTTTGTAAGCCACTGTGAGACTCCTTCGGGTAGTGAAGGGTGGGGCATAATCTTCTTCTTCTTCTTCTTCTAATGGCTGCTTTGGAGGATGGACTCTATGATATTGGTCCCCTGCGGAGGTCCCTCCCCTCCCCAAACCCCGCCCTCTCCAGTCCCCGCCTCCAAAATCTCCAGGGATTTCTTAACCCGGAGCCAGCAACCGTAGCAGCAAGGACTGCAAGAAGCGTGACTTCCAGAAGCCAATCCTGAACATGCTTCCTCTCTTGGTTTGGTGTCGTGGTGTAGTGCGCGGATGGCCGTGGGCAAGCCATAGTTCTGTCAGAGCTGTTCTATCAAGAGCAGTCCTTGAAAGAGCTCTCTCAGCACCACCTCCCTCCCCGGGTGTCTGTTGTGGGGATGGGAAGGGAAAGGAGGTTGTAAGCCGCTTTGAGACTCCGAGTGAAGGGCGGGGTATAAATCCAATCTCCTCCTCCTCCTCCTTTTCTTCTTCTCCTGCTGCGATCCATTCATTATTGAATATTGCATTACTGTTCTCATTTACTCCTGGGATTCTCCTGTCTGAATGGAAAAATCCAGGAGGCTGACAATTACAACAGCATAATATACGATATGTAGAATTCCGTAGCTACATGGGGTTTCCACTCCCCATGCTAGTGAAGGCTCATTGGAATTGAAATTCAGCCAATTTGAAAAAGCGCGCCTGCACACGGAAGCTCATCCCTTGAATAAACCTCTGTTGGTCTTAAAGGCGCCCCACTGGACTCTAAGGCTGAATCTGCATTTGTCTTTCCCACCGGTGTCCCGGCCTTTTGACTCCACCTTCAAAAAAGCTGTCTACATTTGGTGTCGTTTTCACACCTCAAGAGTGCTAGCATACTTTTGCACGTCCACATATGTTTATTGTCCTTTCGGGGGGGGGGGCTCCACTGTCATTGCACCTCTGCACTGCTTTAAAAGAATCTTCTCCAAACAACATTCAAACAGGCGCAGAGAAAGACGGCCGTCATGGCAGCACGAAACTAATTTAAAAATGCAAATGCAGATTTGACCTAAATTTGTTCTGCCGCTTCAAACCGATACAACTGACTGCTTGGAATGACGTTCAGCCAATGGTTAATGCAGGAAACTCCTGATTTCTAATCTATTTATCTCCGGGGTAGCTTGCTTAGTTCCCTCCAGAGCGTGCCCAGATAAGAGTTCCTGGAAACCAAAAATTAACACGAGGCAGGAAATGACCCCTGCTTCCATGTACCCTTAGTGAGTGTTTTACGGAAGAAAATTGCCTGCCTTGGCAATGCGAGTGGGGAAGCCACCCACCCAACCGCTATCTTGTAGCGTGTGAACGAGAGCTGAGCCCGGCTACGTCTGTGTCGGGAACACGCAGAAGCATGCACTGAGAAAGGATGCCACAAAGAGGATTAAGGCGTAAATTCAGATGGGTAGCCATGTTGGTCTGAAGCGACAGAACAAAGCCAGAGTCCAGTGGCACCTTTAAGACCAATAACATTTAATTCTGGGCAGGGGTCATTTCCTGCAGGAGCGCACAGGAGCGGAGCTCCGGCAGTAAAGAGCCCAGGGGGCGGGCACATGCAACAAGCCCCGCCCCCTGCTCCCAGCAGCCCTCAGTCAGAGCAAGAAGCAGCCGGGTAAGTTGCAGAGCTCCCCCCGGCCCCCCCGGCCCAAAACAGTCCAGTGGCACCTTTAAGACCAAGTTTTATTCAGGTACAAGCTCTCCCTCCTCAAAAAAAAAAAAAGTATTTTATATACTTTTGACTATTTTACAACACGTTCTTGGGCCGCCGGGCTCTGGGGCCGTTTAACATGAGAGACGGGCTCTCGAAGTCCAGCATCCGCTCAGGTTCGGGAGGCATTTTGATTTTTAAGGGGCCAGTTAAATTACAGTTCATTAAATTAATCTGAATGCCTGTCTTTAAAGGGGGGAGGCTCCGAGCCTGTTTCTAGCCGTTCCTTTCAAGGGATGGGGCAGCGAGCACGTCAGTTCCTAGGAAAAAACAACTCAGAGGGCTTTTAAATGCCTTTGGAGTTCCCTTCCACAGGGCAAGAAAGATAGAAGGGTACTCCAGAGTGGCGCCTTCAATACATCTCCAACAATCCCTCTTTCTGCTAGCCCAGTCCAGCTGTAGACCACTTAAGAACATAAGAGAAGCCTATGTTGGATCAGGCCAATGGCCCATCCAGTTCAACACTCTGTGTCACACAGTGGCCTGAAATACCAGGGGCCATCAGGAGGTCCACCAGTGGGGCCAGGACACTAGAAGCCCCCCCCCCACTGTGCCCCCCCCCCAAGCTCCAAGAAGACAGAGCATCCCTTGCCCCAGACCGAAAGTTCCTGTCTATACCTTGTGGCTAATAGCCACTGATGGACCTCTGCTCCATATGCTTATCTAACTCCCTCTTGAAGCCGCCCATGGTTGTAGCTGCCACCACTTCCTGTGGCAGTGAATTCCATGTGTTAATCACTGTTTGGGTGAAGAAGTCCTTCCTTTTATCCGTTCTAACCCGACTGCTCAGCAATTTCATGGAATGCCCACGAGTTCTTGTCTTGTGAGAAAGGGAGAAAAGGACTTCTTTCTCGACCTGCTCTACCCCACGCATATTCTTATAGACCACAGTCATGTCACCCCTCAGCCGTCGTTTCTCCAAGCTAAAGAGCCCCAAGCGCTTTAACCTTTCTTCATAGGGAAAGTGTTCCAACCCTTTTATCATTCGAGTTGCCCTTTTCTGCACTTTTCCCAATGCTATCATATCCTTTTTGAGGTGTAGTGACCAGAACTGTACACAGTACTCCAAATGAGGACGTACCATCGATTTATACAGGGGCATGATGATACTGGCTGATCTGTTTTCAATTCCCTTCCTAATTCCCACTTAGGTCACGGTGAGTCTTTCAAAAGCAAGTCCATGAGTCTTTGGGAAACATCCTCAAAAATAAGGTTTCTGGCATGGCTATATGTGGGGCAGGGCTTTTAAAGAAGGGGGCGGGCCCCCGAAATGCCCCACTGTCGCTACAGACCTGGCTCAGGTTTCGTTGTCAGAGTGGGTGTTTCTCACTGCCATGTTTGTATGGTTCTGCTCTGCATACGTCCAAGGATATTGCGTTGCATTAAAGGAGGATACCTGACGTTGGACAAGGCCGACGTCGCTGGACCTGGTCTACCCCGTCCCCAAGATTGCAAGCTAGGGTTGCCAACTTGTTTCTCAGCCGCAGCGGGGGACTCCCGGGCGGCGACTGGAGTGCGCGCCGCACGCACGTCACCAGGAAGTGACGTTAGGACGCCGGGCATGCTGGGGGCGGGGCCACGACCATCCGATCACGTCGGGGTGGGGTTCCCCCCGGGGCCCGATCCGGCGGCGGCAGGGAACGGGCCTCTGGGGCAGGGTTTTCCCCGCCCCCCGGGGGGACTTGGCAAGCCTATTGCAAGCCGGCAAAAGCAACATTCCTTCTGCCTTCTCTTCCGCACCAGGGCTGTGTTGTGCCATGCTAGAAGACAGAATCCGGGTCGCTTTGCCGACAGGCGACCCCCTCAAGAGCTGCAGGGCCCTCCAAAGCGGTGCCGTTTCCGGCACGCCTCCCCCCCCCCCCCCGCGAAAGTCGAGGCCCAAATCCGGCCACCCCAACCACTTCCTTTCCTGCAAATAAAAGTTTGCTACCGAGAAAAAGTCTTGCACGCTTTGGTGGAGAGGGGAAGGCAGAGGAGGCTGGGCAAAAGGGACTGCGAGTCGAGCATGGCTCCTCGAAGTCTTGGGGGTGTGTGGCAATTTGCGACAGGGAGCTGTCAGCCCTGCAAAACGGCTGGACGCGCTCGTGCCCACTGAACACCGGAAATGCCTTCGACTGAGTCAGACCTTCGGTCCATCAAAGTCGATATCGTCTCCTCAGACTGGCAGCAGCTCTCCAAGTTCTCAAGCAGAGGTCTTTCACATCATCAGTTGCCTGGTTCTTTTTAAATGGAGATGCCGGGGATTGAACCTGGGACCTTCTGCATGCCAAGCAGATGCTCTACCACTGAGCCACAGCCCCACTTCATGGCTCTCCAGGGTCTCAGGTGGAGGTCTTTCCCATCACCTTCTCCCTGGTGCTTTTAACTGGAGTTGCCAGGGATCGAACCTGGGACCTTCTGCATGCCAAGCAGAGGCTCTACCACTGAGCTACAGCCCCTCTCCATGGCTCTCCAGGGTCTCAGGCAGAGGTCTTTCCCATCCCCTCCTGCCTGGTCCTTTTAACTGGAGATGCTGGAGATCGAACCTGGGACCTTCTGCCTGCCAAGCAGAGGCTCTGCCACTGAGCTACAGCCCCACTTCATGGATCTCCAGGGTCTCAGGCGGAGGTCTTTCCCATCCCCTCCTGCCTGGTCCTTTTAACTGGAGATGCTGGAGATCGAACCTGGGACCTTCTGCCTGCCAAGCAGAGGCTCTGCCACTGAGCTACAGCCCCTCTCCATGGCTCTCCAGGGTCTCAGGTGGAGGTCTTTCCCATCACCTCCTGCCTGGTCCTTTTAACTGGAGATGCCGGGGATTGAACCTGGGACCTTCTGCCTGTCAAGCAGAGGCTCTACCACTGAGCCACAGCCCTCTCTCCACATCCTGTATCAAGGAAATGCAAAGCTTGTGGCATGGATTAACCCTGGAAATACATTTATGTTGCGTCATTATTCAGTTTCTGGGTAAAAGAGCGCCGTGTGGATCAAAATCGTGGTCTCTGGTTTTGTGGGAATGCTCTCCAGCCCACCTTCTGCCTTCCGAGGGTCCCCCAAGGACAGCTGCCCACACGCTCGCAGGCCTGTTTCGGTTAAGAACATAAGAACATAAGAGATGCCAATGTTGGATCAGGCCAAAGGCCCATCCAGTCCAACACTCTGTGTCACACAGTGGCCAGAAATTCCAGTGCCATCAGGAGGTCCACCAGTGGGGCCAGGACATTAGAAGCCCTCCCACTGTTGACCCCCCCCCCAAGCACCAAGTTCCCAGAAGGGCTAGAAACTTGGGATTCTGGGAATGGTCTGTTGATTAAACAACACTGCAAAACGTAGCGATCCCCAACGCGGTGCCCGTGGGCAGTGGCACCAGGGCACATATCAACATTTTCCCTCGCGCCCAGCAAATGTTTTTAGAAAGAGGGCAGGGCCGAGTGGGGCACTTGCCCGTCAAAGCTTCTGATTGGCCACTGGAGATTTGATTGGCTGTGCAGATTTAAACAAACAAACAAACCATTGCTTTGGCAGCAGCTGCCACCAGGTACGGTTACCAGCAATGCTCCCTTCTAAGCTGTGGAGTCTTGTGAGCAAAAATCCTACTTTGTGAGCTCCTGGCATTAAAGTTGTGAGCGGGCGATCTGGCTACTCCATAAATTAATTTGCTCTGGAGCCCTCCTTCCTGAGCTAAGGCAAAAATGTGTGAGCTGGAGGCTAAAAAAACCTGTGAGCTAACTCACAGTAACTCAGCTTAGAGGGAACACTGGTTCCTAGAGCACATTTTTTTTCTGTGATAGTAATATTCTTATCAGGCTGGTAATAGTTGAGGGTGGGCACTGGGCAGTAGTACCCATGTTCATAGAAAACATGCTAACCCAGACTGTGGCCTCCATCCATCCCCAGCAAGGCCCTACTCATTGGCCACTGCCTTTTTCTCTCCTTACAGTCCGTGTTCAAGAACTACGACCCGGAACAACGGGGCTACATCTCCCAAGAGGATTTCGAAACCATCTCCACCAGTTTTCCCTTCTCTTTCTATGGGCTGGAAAGAGATCGGTAAGTCTTGGGGGGAGGGGATGGGAGGGGGTTAATAAGGACACTATTACTGGGAAAGATTGAAGGTCAAAGAAGACGGGGACGGCAAAGGACGAGATGGTTAGACAGTGTCATCGATGCAACTAACATGAAGTTGAGGAAACTTCAGAGGACGGCGGAAGACAGGAAGGCCTGGCGTGATCTGGTCCATGGGGTCGCGAAGAGTCGGACTCGACTGTGCGACTGGACAACAACAACAACAATAAGGACATAAGAGAAGCCATGCGGGATCAGGCCAGTGGCCCATCCAGTCCAGCACTCTGTGTCACACGGTGGCCAAAACTCAGGTGCCATCAGGAGGTCCACCAGTGGGGCCAGAACTCCAGAAGCCCTCCCACTGTGGCCCCCCAAGCAACAAGAATACAGAGCACCACTGCCCCAGACATAGGAACATAAGAGAAGCCAATGGCCCATCCAGTCCAACTCTCTGTGTCACACAGTGGCCAAAACCCAGGGGCCATCAGGAGGTCCACCAGCGGGGCCAGAACTCCAGAAGCCCTCCCACTGTTGCCCCCCAAGCACCAAGAATACAGCACATCAATGCCTCAGACATAAGAGCATGAGAGAAGCCATGTTGGGTCAAGCCAATGGCCCATCCAGTCCCACACTCTGTGTCACACAGTAGCCAAAACCCAGGTGCTATCAGGAGCAGTGTTCCCTCTAAACTGAGTTAGTGTGAGCCAGCTCACAGTTTTTTAGCTTCCAGCTCACACATTTTTGTCTTAGCTCAGCAAGGATGGCTCCAGAGCAATGTTCCCTCTAAGCTGAGTTAGTGTGAGCTAGCTCACAGTTTTTTAGCCTCCGGCTCACACATTTTTGTCTTCGCTCAGAAAGGCTAGCTCCAAAGCAAACTGATTTATGCAGTAGCCAAATCGCTCGCTCACAACTTTAATGCCAGTAGCTCACATAGCTGATTTTTTTTGCTCACAAGACTCCACAACTTAGAGGGAACATTGCTCCAGAGCAAGCTAATTTATGCAGTAGACAAATTGCTCGCTCACAACTTTAATGCCAGGAGCTCACGAAGTAGACTTTTCACACTCAGGACTCCACCAGCTTAGAGGGAACATTGATCAGGAGGTCCAGCAGTGGGGCCAGAACTCCAGAAGCCCTCCCACAGTTGTCCCCCCCAGCACCGACAAGACAGAGCATCACTGCCCCAGACATAAGTACATAAGCAAAACCATATTGGAACAGGCCAATGGCCCATCCAGCCCAATCCAGAGAAGTACCAGAATCCTTAGCAAGACACAGGAGTCTCGCCCCTGGTGGAAGGGGGGCCCCTGTGGCCCCACGGTCAGTGTGAAGAGGGTGTCACGCAACTAGCAAGTGCAACACTCTGCGTTGAGAAATTCCTGGATGTTTGGAGGTAGAGCCTGGGCCAGTTTGGTGTAGTGGTGGAGCACGGTGGACCCTAAACTGGGAGAACTGGGTTTGATCCCCCACTTCTCCACATGCAGCAAGCTGGGTGACCTTGGGCCAGTCACAAGTTCTCTCAGAGCTGTTCCCTCAAGAGCAGTTCTGGAAAGCGCTCTCTCTCAGCCCCACCTAGCTCACAGGGTGTCTGTTGTGGGGAGGGGAAGCGAAAGGAGACTGTAAAACTGCTCTGAGACTCCGAGTAAAGGGTGGGGTATAGATACAGCTTTTCTTCTTCTTTCTTTTTCTACCTTCTCCTCCTCCTCCTTCTTCTTCCTCATTCTTTTTCTACCTCCTCCTTCTCCTCCTTTCTTCTTCTTCCTCGTTCTTTTTCTACCTCCTCCTCCTCCTCCTTTCTTCTTCTTCCTCATTCTTTTTCTACCTCCTACTTCTTTCTTCTTCTTCCTCATTCTTTTTTTACCTTCTCCTTCTTTCTTTTTCTTCATTCTTTTTCTACCTTCTCCTTCTTCCTTCTTCTTTTTCTACGTTCTCCTTCTCCTCCTTCTTTCTTCTTCATTCTTTTTCTACCTTCTCCTTCTTTTTTCTTCTTCCTCGTTCTTTTTCTACCTTCTCCTTCTTTTCCTCCTTCTTTCTTCTTCTTCCTCATTCTTTTTCTTCCTTCTCCTCCTTCTTTCTTCTTCATTCTTTTTCTACCTTCTCCTTCTTTTTTCTTCTTCCTCGTTCTTTTTCTACCTTCTCCTTCTTTTCCTCCTTCTTTCTTCTTCTTCCTCATTCTTTTTCTACCTTCTCCTCCTTCTTTCTTCTTCATTCTTTTTCTACCTTCGTCTTCTCCTTCTTTTTTTCTTCTTCCTCGTTCTTTTTCTACCTTCTCCTTCTTTTCCTCCTTCTTTCTTCTTCTTCCTCATTCTTTTTCTACCTTCTCCTCCTTCTTTCTTCTTCATTCTTTTTCTACCTTCGTCTTCTCCTTCTTTTTTTCTTCTTCCTCGTTCTTTTTCTACCTTCTCCTTCTTTTCCTCCTTCTTTCTTCTTCTTCCTCATTCTTTTTCTATCTTCTCCTCCTTCTTTCTTCTTCTTCCTCATTCATTTTCTACCTCCTCCTCCTTTCTTCTTCTTCCTCACTTTTTCTACCTTCTCCTTTCTTCTTCTTCATTCTTTTTCTACCTTCTCCTTCTCCTTCTTTTTTCTTCTTCCTCGTTCTTTTTCTACCTTCTCCTTCTTTTCCTCCTTCTTTCTTCTTCTTCCTCATTCTTTTTCTACCTTCTCCTCCTTCTTTCTTCTTCTTCCTTTTTCTACCTTCGTCTTCTCTTCTTCCTCACTTTTTCTACCTTCTCCTTTCTTCTTCTTCATTCTTTTTCTACCTTCTCCTTCTTTCTTCTTCTTCCTCATTCTTTTTCTACCTTCTCCTCCTTCTTTCTTCTTCTCCTTCTTCTTGTGGGGTATGGGAAGGGGAAGGACCTCAGAGGGGTATAACAGCATAGCATCCCCCCTGAGAAGTTGCCATTGTTTCCAGGGGATCTGATCTCTGTGGCCTGGAGATCAGTTGTAATTCCGGGAGATCTCCAGGCCCCACCTGGAGGTTGGCATCCTCACAGATGCCTCACCACCGCAAAGGTGTCGGGCGTCCCTACTTCAGGGAAGCCGCTTCGAGTTAAGGCTCTTCCTCTGTCCCTCCTCCCCGCACAGCGAGGGGCCGTGGAGCCGGGAAGAACTGATGGAGTACTTCATGCGGGCGTGTGCCATCTTCTCCAAACTGGGCCTGGGGTTTCTGCACAACTTCCATGAGACCACCTTCAAAAAGCCAACCTTCTGCGACAGCTGCAGCGGTTTTGTGAGTATGCCGATTCTTCTCTGCCACCACCACCACCCATCCAATCTACAAACCGTTACCAGGGGTCATTTGCTGCAGGAGCGCACAGGAGTGGAGCTCCGGCAGTAAAGAGCCCAGGGGAAGGGCACATGCAACAAGCCCCACCATGCTTCCCAGCAGCCCTCAGTCAGAGCAAGAAGCAGCCAGGTACGCTGCAGAGCCCCCCCCCCGGCCCCCTAGTCCAAAACAGTCCAGTGGCACCTTTTAAGACCAACTTTTATTCAGGTACAAGCTCTCCCTCCTCTGCAAGGACAGATCTGAACATGTCCCCCCCCCCAATAGCTAGCAATCCAAAACAGTCCAGTGGAGCCTGAACGGTGGGTGTTGCCTTCTGACTCACTTCCAGTGATGTCAGGGTGTGTGGCATATGCAAATAAGTTATGCTAATGAGTTATGCTAATGAGCTCCTGCACCTCTTTTTCTACAAAATGACCCCTGGTCGCGGCCCTGGACCTCTTTGGTGGTCTCCCAGCCAAGTACTAACCAGGGTAGAGATGGGCAAAACGAAAGCATTTTCTCCGATCAGTTTGGTGTAGTGGGTAAATGCGCGGACTTTAATCTGGGAGAACCGGGTTTGATTCCCCACTCCTCCACTTGCACCTGCTGGATGACCTTGGGCAAGCCATAGTTCTGTCAGAGCAGTTCTTGAAAAAGAGCAGTTTCTGTCAGAGCTCTCTCAGCCCCATTTACCTCACAAGGGTGTCTGTTGTGGGGAGGGGAAGACTCCGAGTGAAGGGCGGGGTATGAATCCAATCTCTTCTTCTTCTTCTTGATCAAAAAGTGAGTCCTGGAAATCGACCATAGTAGTTAGATTCTGAGAGCCCGCAGAGTATGCTCACCCCTATTCTTTGGTCTTTTTTACCCAAAATCTTTACCACCACCCCCAATACATACTATCTCACCATCCCACATTATCGCAGAGCTTTTTTGTTTGCAAGACTACAGTGGTTTCGCAAGGGAGATTTCTCAATAGGCCCTACACTGACAGAATTTGCCCTTGTGGCCTTCACAGGATCGATACAACCTTTCACGCCCTGCTGGAATGCAGGGTGTTTTTTTTTTTGAGATTATGAGGGATAGCTATCACTCTAGCACTTGCAGAATTTGTCTCAGTCCTTTTCGCCCTTAAGAACATAAGAGACGCCAATGTTGGATCAGGCCAAAGGCCCATCCAGTCCAACACTCTGTCACACAGTGGCCAAAAATACCAGGTGCCATCAGGAGGTCCACCAGTGGGGCCAGGATATTGGAAGCCCTCCAATTGTTGACCCCCCCCGAATTCCATGTGTTAATCACTCTTTGGGTGAAGAAGTACTTCCTTTTATCCGTTCTAACCCGACCGCTCAGCAATTTCATGGAGTGCCCACGGGTTCTTGTATTGTGAGAAAGGGAGAAAAGTACCTCTTTCTTTACCTGCTCTTTCCCATGCATAATCTTATAAACCTCGATCATGTCACCCCTCAGTCGTCTTTTCTCCAAGCTAAAGAGCCCTAAGCGCTTTAACCTTTCCTCATAGGGAAAGTGTTCCAACCCTTTTATCATTCGAGTTGCCCTTTTCTGCACTTTTTCCAAAGCTATAATATCCTTTTTAAGGTGTGGTGCCCAGAACTGCACACAGTATTCCAAATGAGGTCTCACCATTGATTTATATAGGGGCATTATTATATTGGCTGATCTGTTTTCAATACCCTTCCTAATAATCCCCAGCATAACATTGGCTTTTTTTATTGCAGTCACACACTGTCTCGACATTTTCAGTGAGTTATCTACTACAACTCCAAGATCTCTCTCTTGCTCAGTCTCTGCCAGTTCAGACCCCATCAATGTGTATTTATATTTAGGATTTTTGGCTCCAATGTGCATCACCTTGCACTTGGCCACATTGAACCCCATTTGCCATGTTGACGCCCACTCGCCCATCCTTGACAGATCCCCTTGGAGTGCCTCACAATCCTCACTGGTTTTCACCACCCTGAACAACTTCGTATCATCTGCAAATTTAGCCACTTCACTGCTTACTCCCATCTCCAAATCATTAAGGAACAAGTTAAAAAGCATTGGACCAAGTACTGATCCCTGCGGTACCCCACTGCTTACCACCCTCCACTGAGAAAATTGCCCATTTATACTCTCTCTCTGTTTTCTATTAATTAGCCAGTTTTTGATCCACAAAAGGACTTGTCCTTTTATCCCATGATTTTTGAGCTTACTTAGGAGCCTTTGATGAGGAACTTTATCAAAAGCTTTTTGGAAAACCTTGTTTTCTGCTGCTCAAGATTCATGAATCAATGAGCTCGTAAGGGCACAAAAGGAAAGGAAAGCGGTGGTTTGCCATTGCCTCCCCTGCCTAGGGACCCCAGACTTCCTCGGTGGTCTCCCAGCCAAGTACTAACCAGGATCAACCCTGCTTGGCTTCCGAGATCTGATGAGATCGGACCATCTAGGTCAGGGGTGTCGAACTCATTTGTTATGAGGGCCAGATCTGACATAAATGAGACCTTGTCGGGCCGGGCCGTGTGTGTCATAAAAGGTAATGCCAGGTAGCAGAGATATAAACTTTATAAAGGACACAAACACAAAGGGTGGGTTTTTTACTTAAAATTAAAACATGCTTAAAACATGTTAGCGCTCTTGCACTATTTTGTTTATTGAACAGTGTCTGAAAACTGACACCTCTTGCTCTGAATTATCGCATCAATATGTCTCTGCTGTTGCAGTCTTAAGTCTGCTATTCAGGTGTGTATCTGTAAGTTGCAAATCTACGATGACGCAGCAGCCGCAGAACTGGAAGGAGCAGCAGAAAACAGACAGTTCCACTGCGGGCCTGATAGAAGCCCTCCGGGGGGCCTGACTTGGCTCCTGGGCCGCATGTTTGACACCCCTGATCTAGGTCAAGGCAAGAGAGGTGAATTGGCCATTGCCTGCCTCTGCCTAGCAACCTTGGACTTCCTCGGTGGTCTCCCAGCCAAGTATTAACCAGGGCCGACCCTTCTTAGCTTCCGAGATCTGGGCTATCCACCTCAGGGCACGGCTCCTATGAGAAGACCTCTAGTTGCCTGTACCAGGCAGAAAAGACTTTCCGTCTACCAGAGGAACTAGCACAGCGCCTCGCCCCAAGTCAGTTTCTTAAGCTCAACTTCCTCTCTTTCAAATCTAAAAAAAGCAAGGGTTCCCAGAATTAAGGGGCTACTACCGTGTTACTAGGAACCCGCTCTTGTGATTAAAAATGTGGTTTTTCAAGTTGTCGGTCGAGTCTGAGGTTAAACCGCACTCAGCACGTCCCAGAAGTTTCGTACCTGAGGCGATGAACTAGTTTGCAAGGCTAACCGGCTGTCTTCTTTGCAATTCTAGATCTGGGGAGTCTCCAAGCAAGGATACCGGTGTCGAGGTAAGCCCGCCCCCTGTTGGTCACAAAGGGCACCGCAGAAAGCAAGAAGTCCTATTTTTAAACCGGAGCGTTTCTCCGAGAGATTCGTGTCTGTCCACCCCACGCGTTTTGCCTGCGGAGCATATTGACGCTTAGAGCCAGGTTCATACAATAGACAGTTACGAGGTTACGGAACAAACTGCCGCAATTCGGACTACAAAACGTGGCACGGCAAGGAAAAAAAACACCGACTTTGGGTGCTTGTCGGCCTTGCGAATAAATCCGCAAAGGTCCAAGCTAGCTGTTGGCCTGCCTGCGCATGCGTAACTTATGCCAGGGGTTTGTTACATACTTCCAGCCTGAAGCAAGAAAAGACACAACCAGCTACATCTGTCGCAGCCAACCAGATCCCCCTTGCATGGTTGCTTCAAACACTCCCCGTGAGCGACCAGGGGAAGGGGCGTCCCCTAGCCAGATGCAGTAGCGCAGCTGCTCCGCTTAGCGCAGGGGTCCCCAACATGGCGCCCACGGGCACCTTTCCTGGTGTCCACCAAGTGTTTCTAGAAATGAATTCATTTCGATTTTTAGCCCTCCCTCCCCGCGAACGGGCTCAGGGCGGGCTACAAGGTCACACAGTCCTAGCAGGAACAGTTGAATAATCCAAACAATAATTTAAAACAACAATAGAAACGGCAGCCAAGCTCCGTGTTGCTATGCTCAGTTTAGGCTGATCACAGAGGCGGTGATTTCAGTAGGGGAGCGAGAGACGGATTTCGGATGTCCGCCGCGGACATCCGAAATTTGTCTCTCGCCTCCCCTACTGAAATCACCGCCTCTGTGATCAGCCTAAACTGAGCATAGCAACCCGAAGCCTCAATGGAAAGCCCGACGGAACAGCTCCGCTTTACAGGCCCGGCGGAATTGTAACAATTCCCGCAGGGCCCTGATCTCGAGCAGGAGCTCGTTCCACCAGGCCGGGGCCAGGGCAGAAAAGGCCCTGCACCTGCTTGAGGAAAGTCGGACATCCTCGAGGCCGGGGACAACCAGTAAATGTTGGTCGACTTTTTTGCCCAGCACGGCTTCTGATGGGCCGTGCGGATTTTTGAAAAACGTGGCTTCGGCAGCAGCCCGGTCCCTCCAAGCGCCTCCTCCTGCAGCCCAGCCGTCTTCCCCGCTAATGCCTCTCTGTCCTCCGCAGACTGCGGGATGGTCTGCCACAAGCAGTGCAAGGACCAGGTGGAAGTGGAATGCCAGAGGCGCTTCCACTCCTGCACTCCCGACGGCGGCGCCCCTCGGACGGCCACACCGGCGCCCACCCCGCACCCGAGCTCCGGTAAGGGGAAAGGGGGCACAGGGTATGGGGGAATCTGGACGCAGCCTGCATAGAGCACCTTCCGGATCACTTTAGCCAAAAGCAACTTCCCCGAAAGCAGAGAGAACGTCTGCTTAGTCTGCTTAACTGTATCGGCCATGCGTCACGCCGTGTTCCCCTCCTTCAGGGCTTGCTTTGGTCCAGGCAGGCTGTCGTTTCCGGAACGCACGGCGTCAGAATCGACTAAGGCCCCTGAGCACTGTTGACAGGTCAAAGAGGAGCCTTAAAGTCAAACAGATTTATTGAAGCAGAAGTTCTCGTGTATGTGTGGGGGAATATCGGTTTTCATCCCTAAAAAGAGAGCATCTCTGCCCATCGGGATATGCAATCCAGGGGAAGCAATTTCCAGACAGAACTGAGCCTCTCGTCCTTTTTAAAAGGGGAATGGGCCTCAACGTATGTCCCCAACAGACGCCCCCATTCCCTTCAAAGCAACTTTTCTGATGGCTCTTTCCTCCTGCCACTTACCAGCTGCGGGGCCTTTGGCCCTTCCCTCAGCCAGCCTAAGACCGACCTTCCAGAGCTGGCCTCTGCCCCAGAACACAAGGCCAAAGTTTTGAGGGGTCGTGGCTCAGTGGTAGAGCATTTGCTTGGCAGGCAGAAGGTCTCAGGTTCAGTCCCCAGCATCTCCAGTTAAAAGGACCAGGCAGGAGGGGATGGGAAAGACCTCCACCTGAGAACCTGGAGGGCCATGAAGTGGGGCTGTAGCTCAGTGGAAGAGC